GGCGGGGGGAAGGGGTGGGCTTCTGCTTTTACTCAATTCACCAATTCAAATGCTAATGACTTCTGGAAACACCCCCAGAGACATACCTGGAAATCATGTTTTCCCAGCCATCTGGGCATCCCTTAGCCCAGTCAAGGTGGCACATAAATTAACCATCACAACAACTAATTTAGTAGTTAGAGGTAGGGGATGATTCTTGTTACTGGGCCTACGTTTAATTATGTATTGTGTTGGGCAAATACTGAAGTTTTAGAACATGACAACAATGGAATCAACCTCTTGGTGTTTATTTGCAGAGGGCACATATGTGATACTGAGCAAGGCCAACAAAGTGCCTCACCCATGTCCAGGGGATCCTCGTGTGACTTAAATGGTAGGCCCCGTCGGGGAGAAGGTTTAGTTCCTGTTTCTAAAGTGAAAACAGCAGGGGCAAGGGAACCCACAGTCGAATTCTCACTGTGTTCCTACTGCGACATCCCTTCCCATTCAGTACTCACACGAAACCTAAGGAAGATGCTAGCCCTGATTTTCAGATGAAGGAACAGAACCGGAGAAGTCTTGGTCCCAGTCAAGTCAGTCGTTGAGGAGCAGGATTCCAAGCCAGGCATGTGGGACTCCGACTCTTGTGCTTTCTGCAATCCTTCCCTAATTCCTAGAGCTTAACTCAGTGTTAGTTTCCTGTGACTGCGGTAACAATTTACCACAAACTTAGTGACTTTAAAACAACACATACTGATTATCTTACAGTTCTGGAGATCAGAAGTCCAAGATGATTTCATGGGGTAGAAACCAAGGTGTTGGCAGGGCCACGCCTTCCGGAGGCTCCAGGAGAGCATCCTTTCCCTTGCCTTTCCAGCATCTGGAGCGGCATTCCTTGCATTCCTTGCCTCAGGGTCCCTTCCTCTATCTTTAAAGCCAACACCTTGGCGTCTTCAAATCCGACTCTGCTCCCATTGCCTTCTTTGTCTCTATGTAGTCAAGCCTCCCTTTCTTCCCTCTTATAAGGACCCTTGTGATTGTTTTGAGGGCCCATCTGAATAGTCCATAATCTCTCATCTCAAGATCCTGAACTTAATCATATCTGCAGAGTCTCTTTTTGCCAAATAGAAGGTAACATTTACAGGTTCTGGGAGTTAGGAGATGGACATATTTGGGGGCAGCATTATTCAGCCTACCACACCTAGCATGGCTCAAGGTGTGTTCCAGGATGTCATCAGCTATTGTATTTCACAAATTTACCTGAACAAAGAACCTCATGTTTTGTGGGGTTTTTTTTTTTAAAGAAGCCACACTCATTTGGGGTGAGAGAGCTTTTTAGTGAGTTTTACTTTTTTCTTCTTTTGGTGAGGAAGATTGGCCCTGAGATAACATCTGTTGCCAATCTTCCTCTTTTATTTCTTTTTTCTCCCCAAAGCCCCAGTATGTAGTTATATATCCTAGTTGTAGGTCATTCTAGCTCTTCTGTGTGGGATGCCGCCACAGCATGGCTTGTTGAGCAGTGTTTAGGTCCATGCCTAGGATCTGAACTTGTGAACCCCAGACTGCCGAAGCAGATAGGGCAAACTTAACCACTCGGCCATCGGGCTGACCCCAGAACCTCGTTTGTTAGTGAAGTGACCTGTAAGAGTAATAATTAACATCTACAAAACACATTAAGGAAACATTGATTTAACCAAGAGGCCAGGCCTTCCTCTGACTTGAGAGAAATTGTGTCATCTAGCTAAATTCTCCTGAAGTCATCTTTTTTCTCTACTACTATTCTGATATACTTTTTAGAGTTAAGAAGCAGAAGGTACCCTTTTCTGTCTCTCTCTCATCTAATCTTGGCTCCTAGAGGTAACTGCTGTTAACATTTGGGTGCATATCTTTCCTCAGATTTTCTTAAAAGGAGTAACTGCTAATTAACCCCGTATACTGATGAGGCCCCCTGTAAGATTCAACTCATATCCTTTTATAGAAATTTTAAGAGTCCTTTGGTTGACAGATTCCTGTGCTAAAGGTATTGATTGAAAATTTTTTGGGTAAAGCAAGAACGAAGAAAAAACGAAGTCTCATGTTGGCTCATTCCCTCGTGATAGCCCAGAATCCTGATCTCTGACTTGGTTTTTCAGTGACCCCGTCAAAGCAGTCTCTCACTTGGGCAGGTCTTTTACTTAGAAAAGGCAGCCACTGGGCTCCTTCTTTCCTCCCCCTGCCCTTTATTTCTTGATTGATAGATCATAGATCCTATTGCTGCCTAGGGTCTTGCCGAATGAAAGTTGGTTAAAGTTCGCTGACATGCTTCACCGAAGGTATCCAATAGGAACTTCCAGAAAAGTGGGAGCGTCCCTGAGTCTTTGGCTGCCTTTCACCAGGGCAGACTCTCCACCCCAGCTTCTCTGAAATGCCTCCTTCTGAGTTTGAGCTTCCTCTGAATAAAAATGATTCCTTGGTTTTTCTTGTACCTAAAGACCTTTTTCTTTTTGGGGTCTGAGGGGGGACGTCAGCAAAGGGGATAAAGGAGACCAAGCCTTAGCAGTTAAAGGATGCTGTGAAAAACTATCAAAAAATGAGATCAGCAGTGAGTGATCTTTGCAGAGTACATCAGAATTCATCACGCTCCTGCTGCAGCCCCTGCTGTGGCTTTTAATTACAGGTAGAATAAAAACTCGTCCTGTGACCATCGGTGTTCTCTGATTTCATCCTCCATCACCCTCCCTGTTCACCCGTTCCTTACTCTGCCAGGCTTGCTCTTGCCTCACGAACCTCACCCTTGCTGTTCTCTCTTCCTCTGGGAGCATGTTTTTCCTACATCTTCACCGTGTGGGCTTCTTAAGCCAAAAGCTAAACATTTACCTCCTGAAAGCTAGAGTGGCCACACACGCCCCTTATCCCACTGCTCTGTTTTGTTTACTTCAAAGCATTAATCACTATTTGAAATCGTTTACATGCTTATTAAATCTTCTCCAACTAGAATGTAAACTCTAAAGGCCAGAACTGTCGTGCCGCGGGGCTCAAGGGTGAGGACCCCATGTGTGCGGAAGGGAAGGGATTGGAGGGCGGGGTGAGAGCCATGCTTCCCAGTGTGGCCTGGGACCGGCCACATGTGCTTGTCAGCCGGGCAGAATCTCGGCTCCCGCCTCAGACCTGGGAATCAGAATCTGCATTTGAACAAGATCCCCAGGTGATTCTTATGCAAAATTGTTCGCCAAACTGCTTTCAGAGCCATGGTTCTCCCCTTTGGCCGCACGTTAGAATTCCCCAGAGAGAGCTTAAAAAATACTGAGATTCTAATTAAGGTGATGTGGGGTGTGGCCTGGCCATCTGGATTCCTGAAAGGTCCTGCCTGCGTGAACTTAACAGGTGGCCGAGGTTGAGAAGCACCGCTTTGGAGTTGTGCCCTCCAAGTACGGTAGCCGCTAGCCACAGGTAGCCACTTAAATTAATTAAAATTAAAGTTCAGCTCGTTAGTTGCTCTAGCCACTTCAATTACTCAATGCCACACATGGGTAGTGGTTACTATATTGGACAAGACAGATGTAGAATATTTCCATCATGTCAGAAAGTTCTACTGGACAGTGCTGCTTAGGAGGGAAGGAACTGAGAGACTGTGTAGCTTTGGTTTTTTTTTTTTTTTTTTTTTTGTGAGGAAGATTGGCCCTGAGCTAACATCCATGACGACCTTCCTCTATTTTGTCTGTGGGATGCTGCCATAGTGTGGCTTGATTGATGAATGGTGTGTAGATCTGCACCTGGGATCTGAACCTGCAAACCCTGGACCCCTGGAGCAGAGTGCACGGACTTAACCACTACACCACCAGGCAGGCCCCTGAGGCTGCACAGTTTCTATTGAGTTAGAGCATCTTTGGAGGCAAGTGCTGTAAAGGATGAACAGGGATGCAGGGCACACGCGGGGGCTCCTCAGAACATGAGGATAACCTGGTTGCTGACCTGTGATGAGTTTCACCAGCAGGCGGCTCCCACGCTTCCTGTCACCCTGTGTGCTGGAACCTGAGCTCCCTTTGGCCCTGGAAGCACGGTGCCAGGCACGGGCCTGCGCTGTCGTTTGATCCAAGAACTTTGTACAGTTAAATATTATCACTATCTCCAACTTAGAGCCGGGCAAGCTGAGGCTTAGGGAGGCTCGTAAAGTTGCCCAAGGGCACACAATGACCTGCAGGCAGGGATCCTTGAGGTACAGTGTGAAGCAATTGTAGACTGGCATGATGCTCTCATTTCCATCTGTAACAAAATGCAGGATGTGTCTTTCTTGAG